TATAAGAAGTGTAAGATAAGTTATTTGCATAAATAACTATCCCTTACAAGGCTCACAAAAATACATTACCTTTAAATATCCAGAAAAACTTTGTAAAAAGAGAGAGCTGTTATAATCTTAAGAGTTGTTCATGAAAACTAAATTCAGAACCTGTTTGAAAGAATGGTGCAGCTCAATCCAAGGAGTGAGATTGTGGAATGATCTGGAAATTGATGTTAAAAGTGCCAAATCACTGTACATGTTGAAGAGAATGATAAAGGTTGGGTTGTTGAAAAAAATATGAAATAGTTTAGCATCCAAGTCAATATCAAGAAGGCCAGTACTGATGGTTAAATGATTTATTGAAGCCATCCATGTCATCAACGTAAGAGCTAGACAAACCAAATAACAATGCTTAAAAATTTTTCACCATCCACTGATATGCATAGCTCATTACATTGAACGTTTTTCCTATTAGCATAASCMTAAACATTTCAAACAACTCAAATATAATAAAATTAKTTAYAAACCTTGTTCCCCTATCGACTGAAGCTAAACTTSAGTTGTCTTTCAACCTTTTCCRTGATSTTTTCTGCATGTTGTCGTTAACTCTATTAAGTTCCACCTTCGTCTACTTTTTTGTGTCAAGCTACGTCACCGTACCATACTTCCAGTTTCAGAGGAAKTTATCAAAATCAAAGCATGTTATTTTAAACAAAATTGTTATAAACAGAATTAACTCTGCTGGTCTTTACCAATAGTATAATGTGCATTCATATAAATTGTTGTTCTAGGAAGATTTTTGTTTTGTTAAGTGAAAATTAATGTTTGAATTTATACTTGAGAAAAAAGGGGCAGATATGAGATTTTTTCTTCTCTCTGCTGCCTTTCATTTCATTGTATTTTCTTTCTTTTTTATTGTGCATAGAATTTTGTTTCTTAAGAAATGAATAAAGTTTGAAATAAAAATAAATAAAGTAGATCATGTAGCTTTTTTAAAACAACTTAGGTATAAATTTTAAATTTTGCTCTATTAAATAAATAAATTAAATAGATCGGTAAGTACTGTAAAGCCGTATGAATTTATTTTTATTTTTCCACCATATGCTGTAGGCAGATCTAGCTAATAAAAGGAATAAGTCGGGAACTCCTGGTTGACATGGATGTACTGAACCAGTATCTACTTGGGTTTTCAGGTTCCACCAGTTCCTCTTTGAATGAACACTGGATWAGTCGGCTGATGGGAAGCCGTCCRCCCAGCCAAGCCTCATCCGGCTCCTCAAGACGCACCTCCTTGGCTTCTCTCTCCGAGTCYGCCGAGTTTGCTGGCGAAAGGAGCGAGGACGATGGTGAAAAGCACTCGCTCAAAAACACTCGTCTTTATTTTGACTCGTTTTAGCTGCTTCTTAAGTGCGAAGAATAAATTCACCACTTCCTTTCATGCAGGTCTTTCAGTCCGACCAGCAGTCCGAGGCATGCAAAGGCAAACATTCTCATCGAGATCTTCTATCGCCAGCCCGCTTGCTCTGAGTGAAAATGGCTCCAAACCATCCTGGCCCCACTCGGCTAAGCTCCAACTCCGCTCCAACTCTCCTTCAAGGTTCTCGCTGGAGTCCCACTCCTCTCCAACGCTGGAGAGGATAGGAGAGGTGGTTGATAACCAGCTAACAGATTCATGTTTCACTGGCTCACCTAAACCAAAAAAGATGTCAGGAGGAAAGTCTGTTCTCGCAGCTTTGGACGGTAATGTTGGCAGTAGGAGGCTGATAGAGCAGGGGTACTTTAAGAGTGTTGCACAGGCAGAGCAGCGGAGCTCGATCCAGACAGGAGGAAACAACAACGCTACTGAGGAGGTCAGCCCGAGACATGGAGTAGCATCAAAGGATCCAAAGCAAAGAAATGGGTCAGCAGATAGCATTAGTGTCAAGAAGACATCAGCCAAGACTGGGGTAGAGGGTGAGAGGAGTCCCAAGAAACGTCCTGCCACCTCCTCAACGTCATCCAGTTCTCTGTCCCCTGCCTCTCCAGCCATTGACAAGTCACCATCTCGAACACAGTCCAAGGGTGCAGCATCAGCATCAAACCCCAGGGACAGGATCAGTGTACCACCTAAAACAAGCAAGGGTAGTTCCTCGAGAACAGCAACCCCATCCAAGAAAGCGTCCTCCCAAACCCCAGAGTTGCTACATCCCGATCCACAGCAGAAGACGAGTGGTTCTCCAGGGTCGCAGAGCTCACACCCTCAGAGAAGGCCATCGCCCAGAGGGGGCACCGAGAAAATCTCAGCTGCAGAAAGGACTAGAGCAGCAGACCGGAGTGCCAGCCGGGAGTACTCACGAGCAAAAACGGCGTCGGAGAGGAAAACTAGTCACGGAGGTCCTCCCTCCAAGTCGGCTGGTTCTAGCAGAGCCGAGATGAGGCCAGGCAGGGCTMCTGAAGACAGGCCAGCAGGCCGGAGCTCAAGCAGTAGTTCTTCCATGACTAGTCTTCGGTCCTCAAGTGTAGGCATCGCCTCAGGTAACGCAGCTCAACCCCCAAGGGGACCTCGAGGGAACAGTAAGACAGAAGACAAAGGTTTGTCCTTCTTTAAAACGGCTCTGAGGCCCAAGGAGAACCGTAAACCAGGTGAAAGCAGTAAAGCAGGGCTGGCAGAACCCAAAGGAAGCCCAGAGGATGGGGAYGCAACGAGAGAATTGCTCTCTGGTGGGGCCAGCAGAAAAACCCAGAATGCAGCTTTAGAACTACAGAACGTGACCACAGCCAAAGATAAGGAATCCTCTAAAGTATCAGCCGCAGCTAAAAAGTCACTGCTGCCCTCCACRAAATCGAAGCTCTCTGAAGCACAAACAATCACTCAGTCTTCTGCCACGGCAAAGGACCCTTCAAAGAAAGAGCCTGCTAAAAAGACATTACAGTCCAGGAAGATTCCCATCAATTCCACACAAACTAGCCAGAGATCCAAGTGATGGTTAGGGTCTGAAACCCAACTTTTCTAGTGCAGCTCTGAGGTGTTTTTCTCCCCGTTGCCATCAAAGTGTTTGACGAACACTTTTAAAACACCYGTAGCTTTTCAGCGGCCACTGAGTTCCAGCTGCCATATTAAACAGCTACTTCGGAATGGGTTTTCAACGAAGCACTTTGTATGGATTGCATTTATTTTCCAGAATATTCTACTGTATTGTAAATAAGCATGGACATGTATTGAAATCATTGCCTTGTTCTGTCTGTAGCATCACTGAGAGAGAGAAACGTCTTAGTGGAGCTGAAAATGAAAACTGAYTTTGCACAGAATGGAAAGCAGATACAAGAGAGGAGCGGCTTCAGATACATCAAACGTACGGACAGCTCAGCCACCAATGGAAGTTTTTGGCAATTTTTAACACGCTGATGCAGTGAATAATTTTCCAATATCACTTTGTACTGCTCTCCTTCAGTATCGAGAGCCATATGTCAACAACAAACATCAGTGCCTCAGATTCTATTAGAAATATTTAATCTAAATTGTATAACTGCGGGTGTTGGTAAATTTGTAATTGAAAAATTAATATTTACTAAGCACTGAAAATGTAATTTTAATTAAAAAACACAGTTAAGCCTATTTAACCTGAACTACTGTTTACATATTGCTCTTTGGTGTAACTCTGCAACAGCCTTTAAGATGTAATGTTTCTAATTGTTTTGTTCAGCTAAAATCTGTCACGGAGAGAGGCAGAGAAGAGGAATGCAGCTTGAGTCGCTGGTGTTAAACTACTGRAAACCTCAGTTTTTTGGGATTCAGTGCCCAGTCTACACTACTCCGAATATTTGTCAGAAAACATTTTTTTTGCCCAGTTTATGTAAAAAGATGCTCCCGACTACACGACTCTAATAAAATTATTGCAATATCCATGTTGTCCCCTAGGTGGCAACAGATCAAATTACAAAGGAAGAACATTCTAAGTGGTCGTCCACAAGGAACATATTTTGTGAATATGTTTTATAAAAAATTTACTAGCCCCAAAGTAATATTTTTCCAAAATGGGTTTCAGAGTGAAAAATTATTTTAACGCCACCATGGCATTTTCATGCRCACAGACAAAAGGCAATCTTGTGAAAACAATGATGTCTTAGCCCCACAACTAATCAAACCTATGGCCTGAGGACATCCCTGTTTACATTCAGCTTCCAGCAAACAATCCATAYGCCTTGTTTCCTGTTGCTGATGTATATTTGTGGTAATATTAATGAGCCAATGTTTCTATTGTCTCCATGTGGCTGAAGACATTTCTACAAACTTGTGTGTTTATGACAATGTTTTTAGAAACAACAAAAAAAAATGTTTTGGAAAAATTGTTTCCATGTGAACAAAAATTCTGAAATAACTAACCGTATACCCTATATTTTTATATTTACAATGTTACCTTGATTATTAACCATTTCAAAACAAAGTATTGTTTGTTTGAAGGCTATGAATTGTTCAGGGCATGTGCAACGCATCCTGTTAATTYATTGTTTCTCAAAAGTTCTGTTTTTTTTTAATCATTCTGGTTTCACCAAAATCAGAGTTTTCAGAAAAAAACTTGTTTTCCTTTGTTTGCATGTGGATGGAGCAAAATACCTCTCTTTTATTTCATACTTGTTTAGGATATTCGGTTTAGTGTAGACTTGGCCTTAATGATTGTGTTTGATTACTGATTAAACCTGTAACCACTTCCATCTGTTACCACCTCTGTAACCAACCACACAACCTGCGATGCCCATGCACGTCGTGGGCATCAGCCTCTGCAGACTGCCAGACATCTCCAAACATTCCTCTCAGATGAACACAGGGTTGATGTAAAAAAAAAAAAAAGAAAAGAAAAAAAAATCACCTCACGCGCTAACATGGCACACTCAAAGGCTGCTGTGATGCCTTTGCTGAACACCACAACACCATACTTGTACATAACACGCTTATGGTGTTTGAGTCAGCACATCCTCTGTTTTTGACATCACAGCTCAAACTCATTTTTAGCCCCAGAGTAGATCCACACTGAGAAGAGTTCATCGTTCTTGARATGTACGACAGTAGTTGCATGATGAATTGCTTATGCATGCACTTAAATCTATGCAAGCRGATTCTTGCTAATGCCCCACACTGAGTCTGTAAAAGTGCTACTCTTGTGTTTGTCACTGTAGAGTTCTCCGAATGCCTGCACCGGAGAGTCTGTGAAGGCATCTTTTATTCAAAGCTTGGTTTGCACATTTCCTCCAAAGTAATATACATTTTGTATGAATGATAAGTAATGCTCATTCACCCTCTCAAAGTAAATCAATTCACCTGCAAATTAATCCTCGCTTTGTTGTGTTTATTTGTTTTTCCGTACGGCGACACTTTTTAGTTATTTATTCATTRATTTTTAACCGTTTTCCTCATGGGGTTTGGCGCCGACGTGTCGCTGCGGTTTGCAGTTTGTTTTAATTGTTTGAGATTTGCTGTGAAAAAAAAAATAGGATTTTTTTTTAACCGGAAATATTTTGAGAGCTTCATTCAGTGTGTCTTCGGGTTTTGTATAAAGATAATATTTTACAATGTTGTCTGATTTTTTTATGTTTTGATTTCAGTCATTAAAAGCAGCACAAAGTGAAGTACAGTAGGTATAGTTTCACCCCTCTTTATCTCTTTTTTTATTTCATTGTCTAATAATCTTAAATTTAAACAAAATTTAAATTAATTAAAACTGAATGGACCAACATAAAGTAGTTTATATTTACTAATAGTTAAAATTAGGAGGAATTGTGTTTTAAATCTAAAACAAAAACTAAAGATGAAAACAGTTGTGTGCCGCTCCTTCCGTTACCTTCAGAAGCCACATGGTTAGTTCAATAAGATGCACATGTGGGTTTACTGAGTATCACGTGATCTCAATAAATGTACAGCTGTTCTGCTACGTCATCAACCTAAAACCATCCCAAAAATAAACTGAATATCTGTAGATTTGACAGAGTTCTAGCTGTTTCTGTGTTGTGTAATGTTAACCAGCAGGGGTGCCAGCWTTATTTAGATTGACTCCAAAAGTTCATCTGTTGTAGATGCACGTCCTGTGACGACTTTTTWAAAGAGTTTCATTGAAATTCAAAYGGGTTCATGAGWTATTTTGCTAACAGACACCTGAACACACGGTAGGCCTGTATATCTAATTGCATTGATTAATCGAAACCCTGTTTTGTAGCTTTTTTTGTCTTGGATTTGTGCTTTAGCAGCCGCGGGACATTTCATTTCTCCTCACCTTCACTTGGTGGTGCTCGGGTTTGTTTGATTTTATTTATTTTTATTTTGAAACTCAGTAGAGCCAGAAATGATGAACTAGAAGAACAAAAAGAATGGACCACTCGGATTGTATTTGTTTTAACTCTGCGGAGATGATTACGTATTGTAGCATCACTGAGGGGAGGGAGGATGATRTGTTATTAAACTACAGCACCGTCATTTATTTAGAGCTGATTYGATCCTGCTGTTATTAGTTTGGCCCAAGGCTGAGCGTGTTAAGGGGTAATGTTGCCTCTTTGTCTTGCTATTTCTGCAATTTTGTGTCCCAGTCACCAGCTTGTAAGAGCTCTCTCTCTCTTTCTCACCTCCTCTGTGCAGCCAGAAAGGTGATGAAAATTTCCAAATTATCCTCAATATAAAAGGGGGAGGCTGCAACATATTTTTTTGTGATCACGTGCAGAAGCAAGGAGCGGACTTTCGTTTCGTCAGAAAATAGCATTTCGAGTCCTAAAAAAAAAAATTAAAAAGTGAGATGCTCCAAAGAACAAACATATGAGTCTAATGGGGAAAATTCACAAACTTCAACCTGGCACAGCATCATTCAGTAAAGCAGCCAGGCTCCTCTGGTGCTCAGATCAATAATTGYTTGCCAATTGTTTCAGTTCCAAGAGAGCGTCATTAAGAAAACCTCTGGGGAGAATTGAGCAACATTTCTGTTTTTGAAGAGATTTAACTCCCAAACCCTTACATTAATCTTCTTGATTCATGAGTGCCTCTAACCTGCTGAAGTAGTTTACATGTTTTGCCTCTGCTTCATCGTAGAAAAACAATCTTAAAGGCATTGATCTGTCCTATTTTGCTCTCTCTCTCTCTCTCTCTCTCTCTCTCTCTCTCTCTCTCTCTCTCTCTCTCTCTCTCTCTCTCTCTCTCTCTCTCTCTCTCTTTGGGCCAGATTCAATCTGCAGAGCTGCTGCAAATCCTGCAGCGAGAGCACACTGTCGCTGAACAGAAGCAGGCAACGGAGATCTTGACATAAGAAAGTTCAACTGAAGGCCTGAATTAAACRCAGAAAACTTCTGAAGTTCACAGTTAAGAACATTTATTTTACCAAATACAAAGCTTTTACAGTGCTGGGCCAGATGCACCATCCCTTCTCTGCTCAGGTCTCTGCAGAAGGCCCCGCCTTCCGCTTTACACAAGTTAACACGTGAGCTGAAAAATGAAACACTGTGTGTTGTTCAGTGCAGGTTGTATGTTAACTTACTGCTTAAAGGGGCAATGTCATGTAAAATTAACTTTTTTTGAGCATTATATCATGTTATAATGTCATTCCCTCATCAAAAACATATTGCTTTGACTCATTCATGCATGTTTGTGAAATCCTGTARYGTCCTGTGGAAGCTATTCAGAAGAACTAAAACGACCAGTTGGCCCTAGAACCGCCTTTTAGGAGTAGCTCCTCCTCTGGGCTGTGTCTCCGAGCCCAGCTTCCTCACAGAGCACGCCTCCCCACTCCTGCAGGCTAGGCAAACAGGTGAAACCGTGTTTGCTGAGCTCCTAAAACGAACTACTTCTCAGTCCTTTTTGGATTAAAAAAATGCCTTTGAGGAAATGTATTTTCGGATGACAAAGGAGGCTAACCTCTTTTTAATCTTCCCATGGATGACACGGTTCTTAAAATCTTAATCCTCAGAGGGAAAAATAAAAGTTATATTTGTGCCAGCCGCTTTACAGATGATAACTTTCTAACAAAATAAAATTCACCAGTGGATTAATACCAAGATTATCACTAACAGACGATGCAATTCCAACACTCAGAAACACGCTAAAACAGTTGTCATCTGGTAAGCTAAAAAATACAACTCACATTGTTTTGTTCGGTTGTTTAGTCTATCTGTGATCTATGGTTAGTATTTGTAGATTATATTAAAATCTGTGTTCTTTAATTGGCTTACACCACATTTTAATTGATAAATTAGCTTAACATTGACATTTGWGTGTGAGGATGACTGGGAGATACCTCACCAAGCTGAAACGTTGCCTCTGTACTCACTCCGGTTCTTCAGAAAACATACTTTCTGGGTTTGACCTCATACATGGGATCATTCAAGTCAGGTTAAATTGTATCCTGAGTTGATATTTTCCAAAAACAATATTACATAATGCTGTTGCTATTTTTTTAAATTATCATTACAACAAAATCCAACGCTCCTAAGACCAAGCATGAAGCTGTTATGACATGCAGAAATGGGAAGCGTGGGAAGTTCTTAAAGAGACAGTGACCAATTTCAAAGCGTTTAGAAATAGTTATGATGTGAAGTCAAATTAGTTTTTGAATTATAATAATTGACWGTATTTTCATAACAACTGAAGGTGACATATTATTTTGGTATAGAACTGAACTATATGCAATACTGGCCCTTTAAAAAAAACTTGCAGCTTAATCACATTTGACTGAGTTAATCTCAGTAAATGATCACTCATAAAAAATATACAATTCAATGCTTATCTTTTTCACTAGTGCCAACTTCAGAAAGATAAAAGTAAAAAAAAAACTGGAATGTGTAAAATGTTGGTAAAAACAAAATGTAATAAATCTCAAATCCATTTTATTCATAATAAAATATTAAAACATTATTTATTTAATAGCTTACCTGAGCTAATCAAATATCTCTGCTGTAACATCATATTTAGAGTTCCACAGGTGCAAATAAATAAATGAATCCCTCAATTTTAGTAAGTGAATGCAGATTAAAATGATTAGAAATGTCATTTATTGATATTAAACCTAAGTGAAAAAAAATCTCATAACATTTTGAAATGTGTTGAATATGAAGTTGRCTGAAAAAAAAATAAAATCTGTTTTTGATTTAATATACATCAGAAGTATCACAGACTTTCMTTATTTGATTCTAAGCCAAATAAAATGGTCATCGCTGGTGTTTTATTTATTTATTTATTTTTTTTTGTGATGAGATTTTGGTTCCTTTTTTCTTGAATTTTTCCTCCTCTTGTTTTCTGCTCCATCTGCACACCTGGACCTCGTTCAGTAATTAGCGCACCTGTACCAAGTCAGCTAATCGGACCCCCAGCAGGTGTAGCTCCAGGTGTTGATTGGATCCTTTGACCTGTTGACATGGTTTGTTGACCTTTGGTTGGACTGCTTCCTGTTCTTGTGTTTGAGTCTTTTTTGTCCCCCTTTCACATGTAAATTAGGATGTTCTGCTGTTTTTACAAATTACTAGAGAGTGGCTGTATGCCTGCTTGATTATTTGACACCTTGCATATTCTTTCTTTCTGTTTCTAACTGTGAATGGGAGAGCTGTTCAGAATGACCGATTCATTAAATAATCATTGTCTCAACATAAATATTTTACCATCACTCGTCATCAAATGCTTTTTCGGTGTAAGGCAATTTCCGTCCCGCTAAGCGCAAAAAAACAAATTAAATGATTCACTTGTTTTC